CAATTCTCCTGCCTCAGCCTCCCGAGTAGCTGGGATTACAGGCACGCACCATCATGCCCAGCTAATTTTTGTATTTTTGGTAGAGACGAAGTTTCACCTTGTTGACCAGGATGGTCTCGATCTCTTGACCTCGTGATTCACCCGCCTCGGCCTCCCAAAGTGCTAGGATTATAGGCGTGAGCCACCGCGCCCGGCCGAGCTTTATTTATTTCTAAAGCAGAAGGTGAGGGCTAACCTGAGTCCCCATCAATGGGGAGCTAGACAAATAGGTAATAACACTGGTGAGCCATGCAGGACTCTGAAGCTGTAAAAGAAAGAAAGGATAAGGGCCCTTTCTAGATGCTGATTTGAAACATGCTACAAGATACAGCTTGAAAATGCAAAGCTAGCTACTGGGTAGAGAACAATACTACCTTTTGGGTAAAATAGGGTGGGGTGTTAAGAGATATTGTATATGTTTATATTGGCATTAAAACTTCTGGTAGGGCACACGGAGAAAAGGAACAGTACCTGTGGTGGAGGTGAAGCAGATAGGCAAACAGGATTAGGGATGGGGGTGGGGGAGTTTCCCTATATACCTTCTTAATTTAGTTTAGCTCTCCACCATGTGAATGCATTATCTGTTCAAAATGCTAAACTACCACCCCAAAAAGTGGCTGCCATACTGCATTCAATCCTCAGTCTCCATGGTTCAGCGTTCCTGGAGGAGTCCCATCAAAGTACTGGGTACTCGTATTCGCCTTGAATTGCTGTTCTCTTTCTAGTCATTGTTGCGATCGCCCTCTACTGGACTGAAAGTGTAAGGGATCGGTTTTAAAGAGAACCCTGATGTGGAGCATTTGCTGCCCATTCGCCCAGCTAAAGGAGAAAAATAAACTTCATATCAGAAATAAGTATTGTGTGTAAATATTTGCCTAAATTGCAATCAGTGTGACATAAAAACAATCTAATTCTATTCATGTTTCTTTAAGACAAATCAAAGTATTTGACACTTACCTATGTGCTATGCACTGTGTTAAGAATTGGCGAAGCAGGGAGTCTGGGCGCGGTGACTCACGCCTGTAACCCCAGCACTTTGGGAAGCCGAGGTGGGTGTATCTCGAGGTCAGGAGTTCAAGACCAGCCTGGGCAAGATAGTGAAACCCCATCTCTAACTAAAAATACAAAAATTAGTCAGGCAAGGTGGTGGGCACCTGTAATCCCAGCTACTTGGTATGCTGAAGCAGAGAATTGCTTGAACCCGGGAGGCAGAGGTTGCAGTGAGCCGAGATTGCACCACTGTACTCCAGCCTGGGCGACATAGTGAGACTCTGTCTCAAAAATAAATAAATAAATAAAAATTGGGGAAGTAGGCCAGGTGCAATAATCCCAACATTTGGGAGGCAGAAGCAGGAGGGTTGCCTCAGCCCAGGAGTTTGAGAACAGGCTGGTCAACATGGCAAAACCCTGCCTCTAAATAAAACTAAACATAAAAGCTAGTAAGGTACGTGGCAG